TGGGAACTTGCTCGAGCTGAATAAAAAATAGTTCAAATTTTCGCCAACTAGAGGCGCTTTTGAATGAAGCGCCAACCACAGGACACGAAAGTAAGACAACATGGCTGATATTCATTAAAAAACACAATCTTCTGGAAATAAACTGCAAATTTTTAGATCTCAACTTCTTCGGTGACCACCTTCGGTCGACGGCTAAATTGGTTAAGGAAGTCGAAAAATATGCAAATTTTTCGACGCGCGTCACATTTTGCAACCGCTTTATAAAAGCAACAAACCTCGCATGGAGACGATTAGTCTTATTTTGGCATTGTGCTCCGGTATTGCTGAACTTCCAGAATGTCATTATGTCTACCAGATGTTAGAGGCCAAAGTTGTTAGTAATGTTGTTCTTATGAAAAACAATAATTCCGCAATAGCTTGCTCTACGGAAATTTCGGACATTAAAGGGGTTGCGAGTTAGTGTCCATACGACTGCTAAAAATCTTTGATTGATGGTAATCCAAATTTGAAGAAACAGTATCGTTGAATGTTCGTTCTGGAAGAGGAAAAAACCCGTCTACTGGGCCGTGCCAAATAGAGAAAGTGGTAGTACCTCAGTGTGGATAGCTGACTAATCTTCCATCCGTGCCGGCTTAACAATTTTTAAATGTGTTCCTCATGCCAGTGTGGCAGAGCGCTTACTGGATCTTCGCTTCGGGTTCAACTGTCCAGAGCTGGGTCATGCGAAACATCCTCCAAGCTACCATCCATACAAGCTTCAACCCCTGCGGGAATTGAGCCTGGCACACGCATCTCGAGATTACCGACATCTCAAGTTCCTCACCCGCAAGTTTCTCTTGCTCCTTTGGAAGCGGATCCAGGAATGGCCTTCGGAACATCCTCTGGACATTGACCCAGGGGGCTCACTTCATTTGGACGGTTCGTCGCGAATACTCTACAACTGCCGAATTTGGGAAACAGACAATCCACATTCCACTCCTACGAGGTTCCGCCAACAATCACCAAAAGTAACGGTGTGGTGAGTGGTTTTCCACGTCTTTGGCCCATTGACCCAGTGATGTTCGAGGAATTAGGTGCTGGAGGTCCAGTAACACATGTTCTATCACTGGAGCAGCTATATGCATCGCTAATATTACGGAATAAAATTTACTCTCAGACCTGCAAACACATCAACTATGCCTGTCACATAATTTTGCCATGCAAAATGGAGCCCTCCTCCAGCCATGCCATTTTCGTAATGCTGTGGCGTGATCGCTCTCAAAACATCACTTCGCCAGAATGAACCCGTGACTCCAGCCGCCAATCTCGTCATCCTGCATGTGGCCTCCCCTAACGCCTGACCTCAATCCAGCGTGACGCGGGCTTTGGGGACATTTAAAACAGCCGTTATGCCGTGATCAACCAAAAGCTCTACCTGATCTCGGGGTGACAGTATTTCACGACATGTTCTTAACATTTGTGAAACACTGCGGTCAACGGTGGAACATGCTATCTTAAGATTTCAAATGAGTAGCTGAAAAACAATGGTCATCATGTTTGAGCATTTATTGTTGCAAACAAAATTTGTAAACTTTTATAAATGTATGCTAAATGATGATCTCCATTAAAACGCCTCTCTAGTGGTGAAATTTTGAACTAATTTATTTTTATTCCCTCAAACAAATTTCTCTCTCATCGTTTCTTTTATGTCGTACACAACATTTTACAACTTTCTGAACAATAGTTTCGCCTTGTGAGACAGCTTCTAAAGTAGGGCCTGCTTAACTGTGGGACATCAGGCAAATATTGTGTCAGCTTACATTAGTAGTTTTTATCATACTTTCTGCGACTTTTACATACTTTGAATTTTGTTTATTTTGTTTGGTTTTTCTTTAAGAGTTGTAAAATGAGAAAGGTTAGGCGCCTTCAAATCCTAGTTTAAGTCCCCCACTATTATTCGGTCCCTAAGTCCGAAATTGCTTCCTCACCCGCTAGGTTCTTTTTTTGTAAGCCCATTCTCTTTGCATTTTTCTATAAATTCGATCTCCATGCTTGTGTCTTTTATATTTTTTACTACATTATATTTTGTTATGTTCATTAAGTATACTCACTTTCTTGTTTATGATATATTATACAAATTTATTTCATATATATATATATATATATATGCATTGGTATCATATATATATTTATATATATATATATATTTATATGTATATATGTATATATATATATATATATATATATATATATATATATATATATATATATATATATATATATATATACAGAGTGTTCTTCCAGGTATAGAAGCTTAAGTTGGCATTACGCTTCCAAGATGGCGATTGATTTAACAGCTGCTAAGTGATTTATTCTCAGTTTGGTTTGGCGATTCATCATGAATAGACTCACGCCCTGAACAACGCTTTCAAATTGTGCAATTTTATTTCGAAAGTAATGGTCGATTTTCATAAGCAATTTTGTTTATCGATGAAGCGCACTTCTGGTTGAATGGCTACGTCCAACAAACAAAACTGCCGCATTTGGAGCGAAGCTAATCCACAAGCGTAAGCGTCGAAACACCGTTACATCCAGAAAAACCGACTCGCTTGGTGCGCTTCTACGGGCTGGTGGAATCCTTCCTTCCAAAAACGATGAAGGCCACAACGTTACAGTCAATGGTGCATCGGTATAAGAGCCACGATTACTTTAACTTTTTCTTTCCTGGAATTGAAACAAACTCATGTTGATGTCCAGGAACCGTGGTTCCAACAAGATGGCGAACCATGTCGCACAGCCGTCGTGGCACAATCGATTTATTGAAAGCACTACGTTTGAGTGACCGCCTAATCTCACGCCTTTGGACCTGTCCAATTGGCCTCCAAGATCTTGAGATTTAACACCGCTAGACTATTTTCTGTGGGGCTATGTAAAGTCATTTGTCTATGCGGATAAGCCACAAACGCTTGACCATTTGGAAGACGACATTCGCCGTGTTATTGCCGATATATGGCCACAAATGTTGGAAAAAAGTCATCGAAAATTTAACGTCCAGATTGGATCATACATCCGAGCCAGCCGTGGCAGTCGTATCCCAGAAGTCATATTTAAAATGTAATCCCACAAGATTATCTTTCGAATAAATATAATTCATGTTAATCGAATAATACATCGTGGTTTTTATTGCTAATTTAAAGTTCTATACCTCTAAAAACACCCTTTATATATATATATATATATATATACATATCAATTTAAACACCTTTTAAAAACTCTGCTTCCGAATATAATCAGTCAAACATTAGTAAACGAGAGAGAGTCTGATGCTATATTAAAAGATATAATTTATTTAATTAAAAATGTGTAAGTGTATTTTTCTGTTAAAAACATTACTGTTTTTGAATAAGTCTGAACAATTATTAAATGTCTAGGAAGTACTTGGGATGTTTGCTTTTCTAAAAGAAACTTATATAACATCATTGATTGTTTTTTCACTTGAATACATTTATTTTTTTGACTAGAATACGCATATTTCCTCATTTTTCGTTTATCTCATCTAAAAATCAGTATACTAAGAAATTCTTGAGCAAAGTATTTGATGGAATTCGAGAAATCAGACAAACATAAAGTACTCAGAATTTGGAAAGCAGCATCGTAATCCAATCTAATCTGTTTCACGCTGCGAATTTGCCTTTTTTATACATGAAATTGAAATATAATCAAAATAATTCAGAACTTGAAAGGACAATCTTTAAAAAATTGAACACGATATTATTTCGAGAAAATTACTTTTTCCATTCGTACGACTAATTTTCTAGAAAAGGAAAGTAAATCATGCACTGAATAAAATATCTAACAATTATTTCATTTTACTTTTATAAATTGAATTTTAAAATGAGCAATTAAGCTCAAATGTTTATTTATCTGTTATTTTTATTTTTATGCATCCGAATATATGTATTAAAGTACCCGACTATTTGTGAGCTTTTTTTGGAAAAAGGAAAATATGGGATTTTTGACGGATTTTTAGACTTATTTAGGTATATTTTAAGGAAAAACTCTAAAATTGAAAGGAGAAAAGAATTATTATTATCAAATGGGAAAGTAATTGAGTTAAAATGTACAAAATTGCATACGAACGGGCCCCGTTCTTGAAACATTTTTATGAGAAAATCTCAATTTTTCATTTTTTGATGTGTTACTTTATTATTCATGTTTGAAAGTGACTTTCAGTATAAGAGATATTTTTACTTTTAATATAAAAGAGCACATTATCTTAGTGATTGTATGAAAATGCTTAAAAAGACAGTGGATTATATTCACATAAAGGACTATAAATTTTGAAATAAAACAGTGATTGATAAATCTGAAGATCAAAGCATCACTTCTACTGTTTTGCAGAACTATTACATAAAATTTCAGCAAATTATTTTCAGAACTTTTGAGCAATCGCCGCCCCTGTTTGAACTTTTCGCAAAACCCATTTCGAGTAAAACGCATTTTAAATTTTGACATCTTGTGTAAAGTTATGACAACTGCTTTTGCTAAAACACTTTAAATTTCTTGTTTTAGTGAATGGAAAATAAAAACTTAGTATTTTTATAAAGCTAATACGATGGACTATAAAAATTAAATCATAAGGAAAATTTGACAAATATTGAAAAAATCATGATTTTAGAATAGCCGGATATCTTTAATGCACAATTAGGTAGAATATGATGAACCTACATCACCGAAAAGATACCTGTGACATTAAATTGAAGTCAAAAATATATTTTCGGAAAGACAGAAGGAGAAAACTTAACTGTATTTACAAATTTTACCCTTTGAAGCAACATGATTTTGTATAGCTAAAAACACATGAGTTCTGACTTTATTTTTCTACATATTATGGCACTACTTTCGTTGTGTTTCTTATCTTGGCGTGCCAACTAATACAAATCAGTTATTAATCCGGGTCGGTCACACGGGGCAAATTTTTGTACGTTATTAGTATTATTAGAAGAAATAAATTTCTAGTGGCCGTGATTGTACAGCGCTTAGCACATTGTGTTGTGGCGGCAATGATCCAGGTTCAAATCCTGGTCATGGCAATTGTTTGCTTTTTGAAATTTTAAACATGAAGGAGAAACTTTCCTAGTTCATCACCTTACCAACTATTCTGATTCGCAAACATCCAATGTATTAGCATTAAATATTTATGTACGTTATTACATATTATTTCAAAAATGAATTTATGTGGCCGTGATCGTACAGTGGTTAGTAACATTTTGTTGTGGCCGCAATAACCTGGATTTGAGTACTGGTCATGTCAAATGCTTCTTTTTGAAATTTTAAATATGAAGGAGAAATTTTCCTAGTTCATCACCTTGCCAACTATTCCATTCGCAAAACATCCAATGTATTACAGTTAAATATTTATGTACGTTATTAATATATATTTAAAAATGAATTTATGTGGCCGTGATCGTAACAGTGGTTAGTAACATTGCGTTGTGTTTACCAACAGCCAGGTTCGAAACCTGGTAACGCAAGTAAAATGTTTGCTTTTTTGAAATCTTAAACATGAAAGAGAAATTTTCCTAGTTCATCACCTGCCAAATCAATTGACAAACATCCAATGTGTATTGCAGCTATATTCATGTGAATGTTATTAATAATATTATTTAAGAGATTAATTTCTCAGTCGCCGAGTTCGTATAGTGGTTAGTACATTGCGTTGGGCCGCAATAACCCAGGTTCGAATCTGGCCAGGGCAAATGTTTGCTTTTGGAAACTTAAAACATGTAGGAGAGATTTGATATAATTCATCCCGTATAAATAAAATATTATTTACCATTAAACATCCACCGTATTGAATGTTTTATTTATGAACGAAATCAATTAAAATTCACGCCGAGTTAACTCTTGTTCAAATTTATTTTCTTTTCCTTTAATGGGAAATGTTTAATTTTTTTAAACATGAAGGAGAAATTTTCTTATTATCATTCTCTCAGTGCTTCTCAAACTTTCTATACTTGGTGACCCAATTTTCATTCTTTGGTCTTTGTCCCCCCTTTAAAATGATCAATTGAATTTTACAAAATATAATTGACAAAATATAATGCATAAATATTTATAATCCATACAAATTATCAAGATAAATGTTAAATTTGTATATAATTAAATTATGATATGTTCATTAGTCTGTGTCACTTAACTTAGTATCTCATTGGATTCTAGACGACATTTCGCACTACTGGTTTATAAGCGATGGACTCAATGCTAAATGTGGGCTCTGCCCGCGTGGGTTCGAACCATTCCTCGTCGGAGAATCCAATAATTTTTTTTTTCAAAAATGTTTGGCGCGAATTTGAGCAAAATTGGCTTTGTGCCAGAAAACCCATATTCACTCACTCGGCGCGCCCCACTCTTTTGAGAAACACTCACGAAGATGGTAACATTTTTAAACGTCTTTAGAAAAATTTATCAATATAGTAGCGCGAGGGATCAGCTGTAAACAAAGTGATTTTATTGCAAAATTAAAAAAAAAACAAACAGTATAATCATTTTTCAATTATTTACACAGCATGTTTGAGCTGTAGCTACCAATGGGCTAGGCGGTATACACAATGGGGCCCTCGGACCTGACTTCCCCATCACCGAACTTGCAATAATTTCTACCACATTTAAGATATAAAATATAAAACTTTGCAACGATGCAACTGCCCCACAACTTAATTAAACTCAGCTGAAAGTAATTTACAACTTATGTAGTACAACCCTAAGGATTCCTCGCTCAAGCAACTATATGAGCAGACTTAATTTAAACACTCTGAGCTAGCCACTTTCACACCCCCCAATCATCTCTAATTGGCGATTGAACAAAGCTTGGCAATACCGCCGGATCACCTTTAGTTCACACCAGGACTCGCTTGGAGAAAATAGGGCAGGCATGTCAGATTTTCCAGATCCAAACTTTACGTAAATCTCTTTCAGAATCTAGAGGGCTAAAATTGTCCTGATCACATTAACACCGATGGTGTCTCTCTGTCACGAGAGGCCTACATTCATCTTCTTCTTCACTTAAGTCATTTGCATCCCAACATGTGCGATTGGAACCAAGCACAATGGATATTTCTCACCAGAGCTTACTTCCTATTAAACGTTGAGACTAAAAATCGCCTGGATATTAGAGAAAGAAGTGTGGTGACATCAAAGTTGTTTTCGGAATTGGGTCATGTGTGTTATTTTTCTGGCATGAGAGAAGAAAAGCCGGTTCTCTTAGGGAGATGCAATGTCCCATCAGTAGAGCTTGGTCATCTCACAAGTGAATCTTGATAAGTATTGTTGGGGAGTGTTCAACTAAAAAGCCAACATTACAGTAAGAATAATCTTTCAAATTTAAGATTTGTCTTCTTTCCAAACAATACTATGTTGTGTGGAAATTATATTATATTAAACAATTTTCTATTGTTGAAGTCTTAAAGGTAAAACCGGCTAAATATTTAAAAAGTAATAAGATCGAATTTTACAACATATTGAAAAGATTTAACAGGTGTGCAAGTTACCTATTGAACCTGACGATGTTCAATAGCAATGGAGTTGCTTCGAAATACCATGTTAGTAAACAATCAATCGATGTTGTTTAAATCCATGTTAATCAAGCAATACATTCCACAATATTGTTTGAATTTACACCCATCAAAGGTGAACTACAAAAAAAAAAGAACCTAGCGGAGACAGAAAGCAATTTCGGACTTAGGAACGAATAAGTGGGGTTAAACTAGTTTGAAGGCTAGTGGTCTTGCTGTAGAAGATTATATAACACTTATATCACATTTAACATTTTTTCCACAACACATCTTGAACATCTTACACATTGTTGACAACCAACCAAATTAGAGCCTAACAAAGTTACATTTTTGCAATCAGCCAATTCAAATTCTACCATATTTGATTGTCGTTTTTTAGATATCTGTCTTTGCTGGATAGTTTTAAAAGTTAGCTTAAAAGATGTGTTTATGTATATTGGAATTTTTAATCCTTGGTGAATAATTGATTTTCATTGATGTCAAGATGCTTGAATCTCTTTCGTAAAAAGCTCTGCGAGTAAAGAAATTTTGTTAAATTATTTTTTGAAAAATACTTATCTTATGTAATTGTTTTAGGATTTTTCTACTTTTCTTACGTATTTGTTTTATGATTTTTCTGCATTAAGAGTTTGGAAGAGTTTTGTTACTTAATAGTAGTGAGTGGTTTTATCATATACTATCTGAGTTTTTTTACATACTCTGAATTTTTGTTTATTTTATTTTATTTGGTTTTTCCTACCGAGTTGCAAAGGGGGAAGGTTGGCGCCTTCAAACTAGTTTAACCCCACTTATTTCGGTCCTTAAGTCCGAAATTGCTTTCTGACTCGCTAAGTTCTTCTCTTTTGTAGTTTCTTTTTATTTCTCTATAATTTTGTTCTTCATGTTCAGCTTTTATATTTTTATTAAGCTACTTCTTGTTATGTTCATTATCTATTATTTCTTTGTTTTTGATACATACATACATACATACATACGATACATACAATATGTATGCATGCATGCATGCATGCATACATATGCATACATACATACATACATACATACATACATACATACATACATACATACATACATACATACATACATACATACATACATACATACATACATACATACATACATACATACATACATACATACATACATACATATACATACTATACATACATACATACATACATACATACATACATACATACAATACTATACATGCATACATACATACATACATACATACATACGATACTATACATACATGCATGTATGCATGTAGCTGCATACATGCATATATGCATGTAGGAAAGTTGTATTCTTTACGATTTCGAATAATTAGAATATTTTTAATTTCCAGTGTACTTCGAGAGTCAGATATGTAGAGAGATGGTGGCCTCAAACGAACTACTATTCACCCTTAGAGGCCAATCGAGAAACCGGAGCGTTTGACGTCAAATCGCATGAGGCACTCAATGCCCAATCAGGGATTCGAGCGATGACGTTGTGAGACGCTTATAATCCCCAAGCGCGGATCGATTTTTTTGTTGCTTACCTTCACTCCGCACACCGGACACGACGGAATAGCACATTAATTGTGGGGAAATAGTTCATAAATTATTCTCATAAAAATAAAATATTATTGACGAGTACATCCTAGAAGAGGGAATGTTTTGAATATATCAATCTATTTTTTGAAAATTTTAAATCTATAAATATAATTTATTTTCTTACTTTAATAAATTGATTTGTTCTTTAAATTCTTGGTTCATGCTTTCTTTTCTCAGCAAGAATTTTATCATTGCCTATAGACACCATTCCACATGCTGCTGCATTACTATACAGACAGACAGACATACACACATACACACATACACACACACACACATACATACATATTATAAAGTGGTGTTTTTCCCAGGTATTGAAGTTTGGGTTGGCATTACTTCCAAGATGGTGACCGGATTTAACAGCTGCCAGCAATTTATTCTCAGTTTGGTTTCAAATTCATCAAAACGATCATCAAGCAAAGGTAAGGTAGATCGTCGAATGGGCCCAAACGAGATTGGATCGTTGTACCCTGATTCATGTAAGCGATTTTCTTGTTTAGCGACAGAAGCACACTTAGCGGGTTGAATGGCTACGTCAACAAACAAAATTGGCTAAGGCTTGAGTGCTGAAGCTAATCACGCGTATGTCGAAACACCGTTACATCCAGAAAAGGTGACTGTTTGATGCGCTTTATGGGCTGGTGGAATATTGGTCCGTACTCTCAAAAACGATGAAGGCCACAACGCAGTAGTCAATGGTGACCGGTATGGAGCCATGATTAATAACTTTTCATTCCAGAATTGAACAGTCATGATGTTGCGGAGCTGTGGTTCCAACAAGACGAATAAACAACATGTCACACAGCTTCGTGCCACACCGATTTTTGAAAGACACGTAGACCGCCTAATGCACGTTTTGGACCCGTGGGAATTGGCCCAAAGATTCAGATTTAACACCGCTAGACTATTTTCGTGGGG